TGATCATTTATATGTAAACTGTCATAATCAAAACCACTTATCAATGTCCATGATTACCATTCACAGAGAGTTGGGGAATAGCTGCAATCACAGCATTGTAAGAAGAGTTGTTCTTTCGGGGGATCAACATTGGAATTTCCATACCTGGATGATTGAACATGCATCAAGAAATATGAAGTGGAATATTTACCTCAACACTGACCAAGTGCAGCCTATGATCCAGCTTTCTTGATATATCCTCCAGATTTTGCAGGCTGTCATTTCTCTATAGTTTGTCATTGGGGCAAAAAAGTAAAAATAACAGTAAATGAATAAAAGTTTAAAATCCCAGTATGTCATGTTTAATTATGCCATGTCATGTTTAATTATGCCATGTCATGTTTAATTATGCCAATTTTGGCTCGCACAGTGGTTACGTCTATCCTATTCTCCAGCATTGACAGTTTTTCAGTCTGTTATAAAAAAAAGAAAAAAAAATCCAAGCATGTAATTTCATGTTTCATTGTGTTATTTGTTTGTGAAAACTCATAGAGTAAGTGCAATCTTTACCTGAGCTTTGACGGTTTTCTGCATATGATCGAGCTCTCTTGATATATGCTCCAGATGTTGCAGGTTATCATTTCTCTGTAGGTTGTCATTGGGGCAAAAAAGTGAAAATTAAAGTAAATAAATCAAAGTTTAAAATCCCAGTATGTCATGTCATGTTTCATCATGTCCTTTTTGGCTCGTACAATGGCAACGTTCAGTGTACGTGCTAGCTCGTCCATCCTATTTTCCAGCCTCGACAGGTTGTCAGTCTTTTATAAAAAAAAGAATTTTTTTTTAGTATGTTATGTAATGTTTCATTGTGTCATTTTTTGTGAAAACTCATTGGACTGAGTGCAATCTTTACCTGAGCTTTGACCGTTTTCTGCATGTGATCCAGCTTCCTTGAGATATTCTCCAGATGTTGCAGGCTATCATTTTGCTGTAGTTTGTCATTAGGGCAAAAAAGTAAACATAAAAGTAAATAAATCAAAGTTTAAAATCCCAGTATATCATGTCATGTTTCATTATGTCATTTTTGGCTCTTACAATGGCCACGTTCAGTGTATGTGCCAGCTTGTCCATCCTATTCTCCAGCCTCGACAGTTTGTCAGTCTGTTATAAAAAAAAAAAAAAAAAAAAAAATCCTAGTATGTTATGTAATGTTTCAGTGTGTCATTTTTTGGTGAAAACTCTTTGGACTGAGTGCAATCTTTACCTGAGCTATGAACATTTTCTGCATGCGATCCAGCTTCCTTGAGATATTGTTCAGATGTTGCAGGCTATCATTTTGCTGTAGTTTGTCATTGGGCCAAAAAAAGTAACAATAAAAGTAAATAAATCAAAGTTTAAAATCCCAGTATGTCATGTCATGTTTCATTATGTCATTTTTGGCTCTTACAATGGCCACGTTCAGTGTATGTGCCAGCTTGTCCATCCTATTCTCCAGCCTCAACAGGTTGTCAGTCTGTTATGAAAAAAAGAAAAAAAAAATCACAGTATGTCATGTAATGTTTCATTGTGTCATTGTTTTGTGAAAACTCACTAAGTGCAATCTTTACCTGAGTGTTGATCGTTTTCTGCATGCGATCCAGCTCCCTTGATATATCCTCCAGATGTTGCAGGCTATCATTTCTCTATAGTTTGCCATTGGGCCAAAGAAGTAAAAATATAAGTAATAAATCAAAATTAAAAATCCCAGTATGCCATGTCATGTTTCATTATGTGATTTTTTGCTCATACAGTGGCCACATTCAGCTTACGAGCCAGCTCCTCCATCCTATTCTCCAGGCTCAACAGTCTGTCAGTCTGTTATAAAAAAACAAAAAAAATCCTAGTACGTCATGTCATGGTTCACTGTGTCAATGTTTTGTGAAACTCATGCTTTAAGTGCATCACTTTACCTGAGCTCTGACCTCATCCAGCACCCGAGCCATCTCCCCCACCCTTATCTCTAGCTTCTGTAGTCTATCATTTACATCTCGAGGAGCTCTTCGATGCTCCAGTACCACAGCTCTCTGCATCTGATCTCTCTGAATGTCCTGAGGATGATGGCTGGTGTCAGTCAGAGAATCTTTGGTTCCTAAAATATAAATCCTGGTAAACTGGGTGGGAATGACAGGATCTTATAGTTGGGAGTTAGTAAAAATCTGGTTTATCAGTGAATAATCAGATATGATTTTCTGTTCATGAGGAGTCCACTGATAGAAATAGTGCAAGAGTATTCAAAATACAATAAATGATCAGAGGCAATAATGAGGAGAAATAATGAGGTTAAGAAAAAATACATAGTTTGGGTAAAAATGAAGTCGGCTACGTACACATTATGCCCATACTGTGGGAGCTGCTCATTCAAGTAAACCTGCTCCACAGTGTTTGTGCTGATGTTAAGGCCTGAGTAGGTTTGCTCTTTACAACGACCCATTCATTGCCAAATTTTTGTAAATGTAGACTGCATGACTAGGTGCATGATTTATACACCTGTGTGTGAAATCATATGGAATTGAAAACACCTGAATTAAAAGATAATGAGATATGGCCCAGTGCATATACTGTATATGTACCAGCTATGTGTAGAGGTAATAATTTATTCATCCAGTACTGTGCAAAAGTCTTGAGCAACCACATATTTCTGTATAATTTTTTAAAGAAAATGGAACCGCCAATTTTTGGGGGGACATTGTGCAAACATTCATAAAAATATATAATAATGGATTAGATTTATATAGCGCTTTTCAAGGCACCCAAAGTGCTTTACAATGCCACTATTCATTCACTCTCACATTCACACACACACTGGTGGAGGCAAGCTACGGTTGACTACCGTGTTTTAAATGCACTTTAGAACAACACACAGCAACACTACACATCCCACATAGCAAAATGGGTATGCCCCAGATCTGGCCCACACAATGTGCTTACACATGGCCCACATACTGCAAAGAATGACGGCCCTTTGGTGGCCCAGATCTGGTTTGCCAGAGGTGGCTTACACATGGGCCAGCACAAGGCCAGTTGCAGACACACTGGTGGTTGTGTGCTGGCCCATGTGTGGATTAGCTCTGGCCAACCTGATCTGGGCCGCCAAAGGGCTGTCATTCTTTGCAGTATGTCGGCCATGTGTAAGTTGTGTGCAGCCACGGGTCAGTTGCAGACACACTGCTGGCCCTGTGCTGGCCTAGAACAGTTTCAGCTCTGGACCCAGATGTCAGCCTAATGTGAACCTTAATCAAGCCATGTAACAACAACATATGCCGGAACATAACAGTGCAAAAGTAACAAGATGAAACTCTGTTCAGGCAGTTAATGTACTGATTTTTATATAGCGCTTTTCTATTCTTCCGGATTACTTAAAGTGCTCTATACAACATGCCACATTTACCTATTTTCTCAAAACTGAGTGCTTCGTAACTGCATTCATTCTCTTTACATGCAGACTGGTGGACTCAGGAATCAAATCACTAACCTTCCGATCAGTAGGTGACCGGCTCTACCACCTGAGCTAGAACCACCCCGTGGTAAACATGAATAAACCCTCACTAGTTTTTGGATAAAGTGTACACTCACAAACCTGTCAAACCTGCATTTGAAATGTTGGCTACCATAGCAGTATAGTATTGCAACATGGCATTTGGGTCTTCTAACTAAAATAGGAAAAATAGGAACATAAATAGTTGCCATCATTGCCAGGCCTGGCCCACATCTGGTTGACATACATCCTGAAACGACACCAGTCAGTCAGAAGTGTCAGCTTGATGCCAGATCTGTGGAAGACCTGTTTTCTATGAGCCTGGGCCTCATACACCAAACCATAATCGGGCCAGATATGGCATGCCATCACATAAACAGTGCCATCTACGCCAGGCCTGGACCATATCTGGATGACATCCCACTTACCATGCCAGAAGTCAGCCAGCAGTGCCAGCTCGACACCAGATTCGGACCAGACCTGTCTGCTATGTGGTATGAGCGGGAGGAGGGAGGTATGGGGTCTTCACACACCCCTGTTCTCTATTAGGCATCAGGCGGAGGGGCTGGGATGCGGGGCCTCCCTGCTGCTGTGGAGCCGGGGGCGGTCTGCTTGCCTCCACCCAGGGAAACAGGGTAACATCTCCCGGGTCTAGGTGCAGTTTCCCCCTCTGGGGGCGAGGGTACCTGGACCTGGGGTATAGAGTATGTTTGGGGAGTATGATTGTGTGTACAATGTCCATTTGTGTCTGTCTTTACGTTGGGTGATTGCTGAGTATTTGTGTATATGTGCATGAGGGTGGGAATACACGTTTGTGTCTCTGTGTGCCTGTTTGTCTGTGTCTATATGTCAGGTTGGGTCTTAGACTCCACCTCTCTGGGAACATCTCAGGCCCTCCAAAGTATGGAGGCCTATCTCTCCTCACCACACTCCCTACCAGTGGCTGATGCCCTCAGGCGTCGGTGCGTTGGTGGTTCTTGGTGTCTGGTGCTGGGCGCTCAGGTATGTACTGGCTTACTCTTGGTGGCTGCTTGGCAGGGTCTGGCGCCCGTGGCTTGGTTGGGCCTCTTCCGGGGTGTGGGGGGCCCTCAGGCCTCTGGGCCTGCGGCTCAGTTCACTCTGGCACAGCTGGCTGCCGGCGGAGCCTACTGGCACACCACTGTAGCCCACTCTGGCTTCTGCTCCATGGCTGCTGGGTGTCCCTTCATCTAGGGCTCTCCTCAGCTCTTCCCAGGAGGGTGGCATGGATGCCCCTCTGGTGGTCCTTCTTGGGCTCTCGCAATCTGGGGCCTGTGAATGTCTGGGGCCTGGATCTCCTCCATGCCTGCTTCATGCCCTGTCCCCAGGGAGCCATAGCCCTGTCCACACCCTCTAGCAGATCGTTACATGGAGAAACCTTTTGTATACAGCCGTACTCATCCACAGAGGTGTGCACAACGGTGTTCACTCTTCTGAGACACAAACTACACCTTTCTTGGCTGCTACCTCAAAGCACATTGGGTGCTGTCGGTCCTGCGTGCTGCACAACTTTCAATATTTAGTATTTACTGTTATTTACACTTAGCTAGATTAATGTGATGGTGTTGTGTTTATTATGTTGCTCTTTTTTTTTGCTTGTTTTCTCTTTTTTTCCTCTAAAATAAAATAAAATACATAACAACAAAAACAAAGGTCGACTAAATGGTCTAATACGGCAAGGCCTTTTCTAAAATCTTAGCAATAAATGGCAATTTTGAGATTGGTCTGTAACTGCTAAGAAGAGAAGGGTCTAACTTGTTTTTTTTTTTAAAGGGGGTGGATATCACATTTTTAAAATAATAACTTTACCAGACACCAGTGAACTGTTGATTAGGCGAGCAGAATAAAGATGCAGGTAAAATGTCAAGTCAACAGGAGGACGCTTTCATTGAGGAAAGATAAATGTGTGAAAAAGTTTCTAAAATAACAGGCTGAGCTGGAGTAGGAACTGACAATGAAGATACTGATGGGAATTTTTTTTTCTTACATTACTGATTTTTTTTCTAGCAAGAAAGAGAGAAAATCTTTACTTCCCCTATGAAGAAAGGGGGCTGCAGGTGCAAGAGGAGTAATAATACCACTAATGGAGTCAAACAACACCTCTGATCTTTGCAGGTGTAAAAAAATAGGCAGCCATCGCATCTCTTATTGCATTGTTAAAAGCTATCTAAAATGGAACGACAGGTATTATTAAAAAGATTAGTTATAAGGGGATAGATATAAATTAAAAGTATCAAAGAATTTCTCACATGTGGAGAAATTTAAGATACGAGAGCCAACCTTCCTTCAAACAGGAGACAGCGATGTGTGAAAAGACAACAGCCAGATAGGATAAGATAAGATAGGATAAGATAAATCTTTATTAGTCCCACACTCGGGAAATTTGTTATGTTATTGCAGAAATTGGACAGTGCAATGTTAGAGCAGCAAAAAATAAGACAAACAATGGAATAGGATAAGCCTTAAAATAAAAATCAGCCTTAAACATTAAACATTGTTGATTTTAAGTTGAGGATATAATTCTGTATGAAACATTAATTAATGACCTCTCTCTTTTGCGTCACAATAATAACAGTAACAATAGTAACAGTAAAACCAAACAATTAGTCACTTCTGTGACCCAAACGCCTTTTGTCTTAGCTTACCTTTTTTGCAATTTACACTAGACTGTCCGTAGATAAAGAGTACACAGAGCAAATGTATCTTCAGCAGCACAAATGCTCCTTGTTTGTGCTCCATTGTCGTGAAGCAAGAGGGGGGGAAAGCTGTGATCAAAATCCAAACACCTCAGATCCAATACCAAAAATACCTTCAAGGCACTTCGATTGTTTTAAGGACAATAATGCCCAGTCCCTCTGAATAGCTTGTAACTTGTTGATTGTGAGGGCTGACTAAAGGCGGTTCCCTTTATCAGTGAACTGATGAATGTTTACAAAGTCAGGGGTGGGGCAACTCCAGAGAATGCTTATGGTTTCAGTGGTCTAGGTGTTGCTGATCTGTCATGTGGCGTTCTACAAAGTTCTAGATTAGGAGCTCTATTTATCAGTACTTTTAAAATAATTTCTCGTGACTTGTATGTCCATCACATTCAACTTTACTTCTTTTTTAAACCTCACAAACTCATTAACTTATCCATTTTAAATGAATGCCTTAATGCAGTCAGTTGTTGGATGGCAAATACGTTTTTGCAGTGAAATCTTGACAAGACAGACAATTTAATTATTTCTCCTGCACATTAGTGCCCAAAACAAACAGCAATTGGGATCTGTTTTATCCACTTTATACGCTTAAGTGTAAAATGTGGGGATAAATTTCATTCAGTCTCTAAGATTTGATCTTCACATGAAGTCTCTGGCCTGCTACTTGTCCACTTTCTCTTGTAGTGGGTTGCTTTTTAAAAAAAAAAAATTATTTGCCTCTATAAAGCATTTGTGACTTCTCTTTTTCTTCCTTTTCCCACAATAGAAATAAAACTTACAACTTTACTATTATGTGAATATACAGCAAAAAAAAAGTTTATATTATTAAATCACTGATTTATTAATACCATAATTAAAGCAAATAAGGATATTTAATCATTCTCATTCTCTGCTGACATCCAGTGGCCATTTCCTGTCACAGCCGTACAGTTTAACACTATAATCAGGGAGGTCAAACTCATTTTACACTTGGAGCCACATTTATTTTATTTATTTATATAGCACTTTTAATTACAACAGTGGTGTTGACCAAAGTGCTGTACAAACATACAAATTACACAATTAAATAACACACAATAAAATAGCAATATCAATTAACATCAATGACAGATAGCTAATGACAAATAAATAAGTACATGACTCTCGTGCAGTATTAAAAGCCAGTGAGTAGAAATGTGTTTTAAGATAGGATTTAAAAAGGTTGAAGGTAGGAGCCTGTCTAATGTGGAGAGGCAAATCATTCCACAATTTAGGCACCATGACCGCAAATGCACGATCACCTCTAAGAACCAGTCTCAACCTTGATGTGGCCAAGAGCAAAAGATCACCCGATGTAAGAGCTCTAGGGGGCATATAAGGCTGTGCACATACAGTGCACTTTAATCTTAAGTTGTCCAGGCCAGAAAAAAACCCTTTCTGTCAGTGTAAATAAGTTTAACTCCACCTATAGGCCCTGTAATATCTCAATATAAGAAAAAAAAAGTGCAATTTCAGCTGGATGTGTGTGTTTTACTACATGTTAAAGAAAGGCTGTTCTATTTAATGAAATAAATGTCAAAATGACTCTCTGGGCAAAATAAAATGTGTAAAATTATAGAAAAAGGTTTGGTAGCTCTTTGTCCCGACTATCGTGCCATTATAAAGCAAAAAATACTTTAGATGTATTGATTGATTGAGTTTTACTTTTTATTTATTTTACTGTGGACACATTGTAATCAACTGAAATTTCGGTTACAGAGAGTGGAAAACACAGGAACTTTTCTGTCATTTAATTGTTCATCTATTACGTGGTGTAATATTTGCTCCACAGTACTGAGGCACTACCTACATGTATATGATGATGCCATTAACTAGAGAACAAAAGAGCATATCCAATATTTTGTCAGAGGCATATCAGCCTAACATTAGATAAACTTATTTTAATATTACAAACACTAATACTAATATCCAGAATTTGTCTCTTACACCTCGCATGTGCCGATCTGACTGAGGTCATTTGCTGGATGGAAACTGTCCCCCTGGGACATACACTGCCTTTAGTCTACTCAAAAATAATTGATAATTGCAATAGAAAAAAGAGTATGAACACATATATTTTATATTAAACATATGGCTTTCACTACTGGGAGAAACAGCAGAGAAACAGCATCTGCAACAAATGTCATGTGAATTCACTTAACAGCACACACTGGGCAGCAGGTGGGCACTCCATCCACACACCCACGTGGAGTCTGCAAACCAGCTTCAACCCCCCCCCCATTAACACAAAAAGAGGGGAAACTGACTTATTGTCAAGTTTTTTCTTCTGTGATTATATATTCCATTATTCTATTTACCTGTACATATTGTACAGGTACAGTATTAAAGGCCCTAAATCAGGGGTAGGGAACTCCAGGCCTCCAGTTTTAGATATCACCCTGGGTCAACAGACCTAAATCAAATGATAACTTCATTACCAGGCCTCTGAAGAACTTCAAGACATGTTGAGCAGGTAATTTAGCCATTTAAATCCACACCACAGCTCTTAAAATCATGTCTTTATGCTTTTGAGTTTCAGTTGGCAATTTTTTAGTCAGGTGTTCCTGCTCTGAAACTTTGATCTGCTACTTGTCCACTTTGCCTTTCACTTATTATTACATAATGATATATAGTGCACATAGGATACAGATTAAACAGCCTTAAGCCTTTTTTTTTTCTCTGAGTCTGTCACCAAACACATTTTCACATCAAATCATCCCAAAAGGTGTGTGTACACACTCCTTAATTTTATTGTTTGGGGGGTTCTGGGTATTTTTTGTTTTTTTGTTTTTTTTTGCATGGGTGTGCTGAGACAAGTGTCTAAAGATATGAGGTTTAATCTTCAGAAGTTGTCTTTTTATTTATTTACCTCTATAAAGCTGTTTTGAGTCAAAAACACAATAAAATAAACTTACTTACAATTTTACTATTGAGAGAAACACAATTGCACAATTATAAATGGTTTATCCTTCCCTTAATCACAGCAAGTATTTAAGTCTATTACAAGAAAAATACACTCATTCTGAAAAGAAGCAAATGTTTGGGTACTTTAGCTTTGAAAGTCAACTCTTTGACTTGCCTCCTATTTTAACCACATCTCTGCTGACATCCAGTGGCCATATTCAGTCATGGCTGATGAGATAAACACAATATAACCTTTTTTGATCCAATTTCAGTCTTTTGTTGATATTAAATGAATATTCTAACTTATTAAAACACACTAATACGATTGAAAGCTTTTAGGAACATTCATATGATATTAAAATTTATTTTGATATAGTGATATATAGTGCACATAACATACAGATTAAACAGTCTTGAGCCGTTTTCCCCCCTCTGTAGCTGTCACTCAGGGCTGGACTGGCCATCCGTCATGTGGGCCGCTTGTGATTTTTCGTTTTTATGGGCCGATGGGGTTTTATTTCTTCTTCTTCTTTTTTTTTTTTAGCGGTATAAGTGAATAGTGGTGGATTGGCCAGTTGGTCATGATCGACTCTGGACTGGACCAATTACAGCCGAGGTGTTCGAACTTTAAAGTTGAGGTGAAAAGGAACGCGATTTGTCCCGTACTACTTCAGCTAGAAAGTTGCTAATTCAATCATGAAACTGATCAATGATCAGCTGATCGGCTTTTCTCTCTGCGCCAGGAAGAGGAAACCGGCGGAGGTCACGCTAAAGAACAGCAGCACGTTTAAGCTTGATCAGCTGTTATTAGAATTTATTTAATATTAATTTCTAGTATCAGCTGATGTTTGCTGGGGCCACAGCTGTAAAGCTGCTGGTCATGATATCCGTTTGGATATGTGGTGAGAGGGAAACATGAAGATGAAACCAGGAGATGACCTCACTGAATCATTAGAGCTGAACAGGTGATGGAGAAACAGGTTTACCTTTTAGGTGACATGAATGAGTTGAAGGGAAGTTATGAACTGTTTCTGAGAGACAAATAACACCAGGATCCTTTTCTATGTAGCTGACAGCTGGTAACTGTGCAGGGGCGGGTCTAGCAATGTTTTGCCAGGGGGGCAGGTATAGGGCATTAACAGGGAAAGGGGGCACAAAGAAATACTTTTCTTCCTTATTCTTATTTAAAATGTCTAGCTTTTAATAAATAATTATCTGAATCTTACAACCAAAGTTTCCATCTGATGTAAAATGTATAGAAATCCATTATTGTATTCAGTAAATATTAAGTCTAGTATATACCCTAGTAAGTTATAGTATTCTTTCCTTTGGGAAGGTACCATCTGTGCAGTCTGCAATTCTGTTGAAGAAAGATGATGGATCTATTTAAATACTGGAGAAAAATAATAAATTTCTGTGCATTTGTTTTATACGTGCATTAAATTAAAATCTTGAGGCAGAGGGTGGGGGAGTGGTTCCCTATTTTTTTTTTCTTTTGCTTTTTTGCTGGGATTTGGCAACCCTATTAGATAGGTATATGTAATTATTATTATGTTGTTATATGTTTTTTCCAAGTACTGTTTAGAATACCAGAATAGGGAGGATGGTGTAGGTTTAAGTTTATTATAAAGGCTTTATGGCTTTTCCTAAAATACCATGGTGGGCCAGTCACTAGTCAAAATGCCCGGGCTGATTTTTTGTCCCAGTCCAGATCCCAAAAGGTATGTGTACACACTCCTTAATTTTATTGTTTTGGGAGGTTCTGTTTTTCTGTTTGTTTGTTTTTTGCATGGGTGTGCTGAGATAAGTGTGTAAAGACATGTGGGTTAATCTCCAGAAGATGAACAGCTAATCCCTTGTCAGGGTCTATTAGTTGTCACACATTAATTGCTAATTGAACAAATCCAGCAGGGACGAGCTGTATTGCCAAAGAAAATGTTTAGAATCATTTAAAAATTTCTTAACTATCTCACAGCCTGAAATTTAAATCTATGTATGACCATCCTAGACCTAATGTACTAAACAAAATGATGTTGTTGTTATGCTCTGTAATACTGACAGCTGAGTTTGCCAGACACAATGTCTATAAAGGTGAAGAGTCTCAGTCTCAGAGTATCATACAAATCTCTTGAATTCACTTGGTACCCCAGTCTCTGACCTCATTGTCAGGTTCCTGTCATCTCTAATCTCTTTGGCGTTTTCCTCTTTGGCCAGGTAAGCCACGCCCTCAGCCTTTAGCCTCTGAGCTGGCATTTATCCCCGG